AACAGCATCATCATGAATAATACTTCAACCACTTTTGTAGAACTTAGCCGTGAAACCATCAGAGCCAGCAACTTTGTCATCTTCCATATTATCAATAATATCTTTGATTTCCACAACAGTAGGAATACAAGTAAGTAAAGCATTATCAATTACATTATTACCATGGTAAAGAGAACTATCCAGATAAATCAAAGGACCCCCATCATTACTAAAAGGAGTGGAAAAATACTGAACACCCTTGGAAGATCATTGATATTAGTAAGCACAGTACCATCAACAGTAAGAATCTTAGAAATGAAATTAATTTTCCTTCTATTATTAATGAAAGCATGATAATAGATAGTATTTCTGTCACCATCCAAAAAATGAGCCTTGACAGCTTTTTGAGAAAAAAAATTTCCTCCATAGAAATAGCCTCATCAAGCTTTTGCTAACCTCGAAGCAAAACATCCCAAGTAATAAGGTTATTAGCATAATCATGCTCAAGAGATTTAACCTTGTCTTCATTAGATTAAATGTTTCGATGAAGATTACCAAAGACCTCCCAATTCCATTTTTAAAGAGCATTAGCTAAATTTTTTTGTAAACACCACAATTTGTAACCAGAAGACCCAACAACATTAGTCTTCCAGTGATTCTGAAGGAATTGCTTATAATCTTCATGAAGAGTCCACATATTATAAAATATGAATTGATAATTAGTCGTATAAGAGCTATCCATAATCTTCAACAAGATAGGGGCATGATCAGAATCACCAATAGACAAATGTTGAACATTAAGCTAAGAAAAAAATACTAATCTAATTGGAATTAACAACAAATCTATCAAGACGTTCAAAAACCTTGCCTTTATGTCAAGTAAATGGGTTTCCATTAAAACCCAAATCAAAAAGCCCTGCATCCATCAGAGTATCATTAAACTGAGTAATCTGAGTAAAATTAGGAGGAACTCCTCTTTTCTTAGAAATAGCAGAAATCATATTGAAATCTCCTCCCATAAGCCAAGCCTCATTTAATGGGTTAATAGATTTAATCAGACTCCAAAGTTCAAGTTAAACTTGCTTAGTGCAACCAGCATACTACTTTACATTAAAAATTTCTAAACTCTAAGTTGGTCTCTTTCACTAAAGTTTTTTTTATAAATTTGACTATTATATTTATACATCAAAATTTTAGAATATGCAAAAGAAACTCATATACATAATCTACTTATTTGGTTTTAAAGGATTGGAGGTCACTTGAGGACAAGTAATATTTTAAGTTTGGGGGATTTTGATACACCTAAAATATATAGTCTTTATGTACACATTTTTATATATATTTTTGAGACATTAGACTGAAAAACCACTTTGGTTCAAATCCAATTAAGAGATAAATATGGTAATTAGACCAGAATGGAAGACCGCTGATACACCTAAAATAGTCTTTTTATACGCATTTTTATACCTATTTTTGAGATATTGTACTTTAATGAAATGTATTTGTGTGTTTTTCTTTCAGGTATAATTAAATGAATGAAAAATGATAAAATGAGTGAAAAAGAATCAAATTTGGAGAAAAAATGAAGAAGATGCAAAAATGAATTGAGGCGCCTAAGTGCCCAGGACTAGCGTTTACGCCAATTAAATAGTGAGAGTCACAGCGCTTATTCCCTAGTTAAATAGAGAGAGCTGCGCCTAAGATCTAGGTACCTTGTGCTTAAGCACCACAAGTAGTTATTTGATGATTCATTAAATTTAGATGAATTTTTAAAAAGGTGTTTGAAGCAAACCTTGGTAAAAATGTGAGAAATAGTTAATGGACACAAAAATTCATTCAGTTGGCTTTTTAAAAGAGGCAACTTCTAGAAGATTCATTGAATGGGGACACATTTTGAAGAGACACCAAAACACCTCTTAGATTTTTATAAAAGAAGACTTGAGGGAGATCATAAGGGAGACCAATCCAGTGTCAACTACCTCATACTCCGCCGCTGCCATCCATCGTCGCCGCTGCCACTCATCGTCGTCGCCACCACCCATCGCCGCTGCCGCCGCCCATTTTTTTATTTTAAGTTTTAGTTTGTATTGTAAGTGAAGGAAGAGATTCAAAGGAACTTCAAGACATTTGGTTATGAGGATTTGAGATAACTTTTTATCTTTGTGACTAGATTTGGTTTTAACCTAGACTTCTTGTTTGTGAGCATGATTTTTATTTTCAAACTCAAGTGTGATTGTGTTTTCTCCATGAGTTATGAGTTGTGTTTTCTCCAAGGATTCTGAGTTGTTTTTATTATCTTTTTCCTTAAAATGATAAGTGATTAAGTATTGGAGGGAAGTTGTGTGAAGTATTAGTCTTTAATGTTGGAAGAAATTGTGATGATTTTAAACCTTGTACTTCATTTACTTTTTAATTTGGCCAATTAAGATGTTAATACATGTTGTGAGAAAATGTAATATTCGAGATGATATTGTCTCAGTCAACAAATTGTAAGAATCACATTTAATTTCATGGATGAGAATGTAGTTCATGGAGTTGAGTGCAAATAAATAGGAAATAAACTTTGAAGGGTGTAGAATTAGAGGACTTTAGAGTGAAACGCTAAAGCCCCCAAGTTTTGATACGAGATGTTAGCCCCAAGGTGGAGGGAGAAGAGGGAAGTCTAGAGTGAGAACTAGTATCTTCCTTACCTAACCCGTCTTCAAGACTATTTAAACTATATATTAGCCAATATTCTTTATAGCATCTTTAATAAATGTAAGGAATATTATTACTCCTATTTAACATAACACAATTAGAATACTTCCACAACATAATTCCAATACTTATTATTGATTCATGATAAGGAAAATAATATTTTATTTATATTGTCTTCATCTTGCAAATATTTAGTTAAGTTAGTTAGTTTCTTACTTTATTTTCAATAATTAAAAAATACAAAAAAAATTGAACTTTCATTCATATTATAGCATCTAGAGTTTAAGTAAGAATATTTTGCGAGACAGAATTTTGCTATCTAATTTCTTTTGTTTTGTAAGTTGCACATTATAGTTTTCCCTGTGGGTTTGATGTTCAATTTTGCTATCTAATTTCTTTTGTTTTGTAAGTTGCGCATTATAGTTTTCCCTGTGGGTTTGATGTTCAAAACTTAATCAAAATGTCCTATATTACTTGATAACGATACATATACTTACGTAGTACCCCATATTTAAATTTTACAACTGTATTCTTATTTGTTTCTAAGTTAAAATTTACCTAGCTTTTGCTTGAGTTCAAGTTTTTGGCTTTGTTGCAAAGTAAGAATTATTATTAAAGAAATTAAGCATATAATCACATACATCACATTAACATATATAAAGAGAATCAGGAACAATAACCACCTTTGAATTGGCTTCCTTTTTGTCTGACAAAGCACCGTCGAAAATTGAACAAATTGTTTGTTGAGATGTGTTTGAATTTGTTTATGTTATTTTTATTTAGAATCATTTATTTTAAGTTATTTGAAATTGATATTTATGTTAATGCTGGTTGAAATTATTAAGTTTATTTTAGGTTTAATTGTTAATGCTGGTTGAAATTATTAAAATTTCTTTTAAGATTATTTGATTTTATTTAAAGATTATTAAGTTAATTATTGAAATTCATTTGAGTTTATTTAAAGTTTAAGGTTTATTGATACTTTTTAAAGTTGGTTAAATTTATTAAAGTTTGTCAAATTTAAGTTTAGTAAACTTTATTTTTTAAAGTCGGTTGAATTTATTAAAACTACTTGAATTTAAGTTCTTAAAAGTTTGTCAAAATTTTATTTATGTTTCTTTAAAATTCATTTAAGTTTAAAATTTATTAAAGTTTATTTAAATTTGTTGACGTTTATTAAATTGTTTTAAAGTTTGCTAAAGTTTTATTGGAATTCATTTACATTTATTAAGATTCATTAGCACTTACTAAATTATGTTAAAATTTATTAATTTTTTTTAACATGGACTTAAGTTAAAGTTAACTAAAGTTATGCAGTTTAATTGATGTTTTATTAAATTGATTAAAATTTATCATATTTTGTAAAGTTGATTGACATTTGAGTAAGGTTTTTTTTTTTAAATTTTCATTCAAATTTTAAATTTTAATTTAAAGCTATAAAATCTTGAAATTCTAGCTTTTGGCTTGTTAAGATTGAAAATTTGATTTGTGGTTGTTTACCTTAAATCTAGAAATAGGGTAAACAACCCATGAGTTGCACCCTTGATATTTAGTTCCAATTAAATTTTTTAAGAAGAGTGTAGAGTTTTCGATGATTCATACTGGTAACTATGGGATGAGCCTTTAGCCCGAAAAGGAAGAAGTGAAGTTATCTTCCTTCATGGTTTCAGGTAGAAAGACAGTAGAAAAAGTCTAAAGATGGGAGTTTTGTGCTCTATACATTGTGATTTTATAATTGCCTTCCTAGTTAACTCTAATCACAACTATATCGCGAGAGTTTAAACACAATGGACATGGTTTTGGGCAAAACCAGGAGGGGGAGAAACGTAAGTGAGGGTTTTGGAGAGAAAGGGGAAACGTGTTCAGGCGAAATACGAGAGGGGGAGTAATGGAGGTGAGGGTTTCTGGTGTAAGAGAGGAGAGATAATTACAATTAGATAAATTTAGATTTAATTAAGTTAATTTTAATAATTATATTGCTAGTAATTAAATTTTAATTAAAAATTATCAAATTAAATACTATTTAAAAAATTAACATGTAATTATTTAATAGATAATTAATGAATAAAAATATATTTTAAAATTTATATTATTAAAATATATAATAAATAATTAATTAATATTGAATTATCACTTAAAAGTAATTTGTTTAATAAAATTTTATTAACAATTAATAATTTTAATGAATAGTTAAATATTAATTAGCATAATTTAAAACAAAAAAAAATAAACTAAATTAAATTATATTAATAACTAATTTTAACATACTAATAAAATAATAAAAGTTTAATTAAATTTTTTGATTTTAACAAATACAGCTCTCTTAAACTTAATAGAAATTGTTTGCAGGTAAACAATCTCTAGAGGGAAATACACCGGAAATATGATCTCAACGGCGCGACTCATGCTCCGGCGGCAGCCGCCGTGGCACTTCCACCTTCACCCTTTTTCCACCGTCGTCAACCTCTCCCACCTCTCCTCCCCCATCAATCTCGATCACCTTACTTCCGTAACCTCCAACTCGGAACTCCTCGCTTCCTACACCATCACCCCACCCGTCCGCCCCTGGCCTTCTCGCCTCACTCCGGGCCGCCTCGCCTCCATGATCCGCCGTGCCGCCGATGACAACCTCGCTCTCCGCATCTTCCAACATGCGGCCTGCTTCCACAGGGGCTTCTCCCTAACCTACACCTCCTACCACGCCCTTATCGACCGCCTCGCTCGCTCCCGCGCCTTCGATCTCCTTACTCCGGTCCTCTCCTCCCTCCGCCGCTCCGGCCTCCGTTGCGGCGAAGAAGCCTTTATTGTTCTTATCCGCGCCTACTCTCTGTCTTCACGTCCGGCCGACTCTCTTCGCGTCTTCCTCTCCATCCCTTCTTTCCGTGTCCAGCGCTCTGTTCGTTCTTTCAATGCTCTCCTCAATGCTATGATCCAAAACCGCCGCCTTAGCCTTGTGCCCCCGCTCTTCCGCTTCCGCAGCTGCCGTTCTAAGTTTGGTATCTTCCCTAATGTTTGTTCTTGTAACATTCTGTTGAAGGCTTTATGTGGAGTCCGCGATCTGGCTGGTGCACGAAAGGTGCTCAATGAAATGCCTGCCATTGGGATTGTCCCCAATGTTGTATCTTATACAACGATAATTGCCGGGCACTGCTCTTTGGGCGATCTTGATGGTGCCAAGGAGATGTTTGATGAGATTATAAGTCATGGATTGATACCGGATGTTACCACGTATACTGTTCTTATCAATGGATATTGCCGCAAAGGTTTGATTGTGGATGCTGCCCGTGTCATGGATGAAATGGAGTTGGCAGGCGTGTCGCCAAATGATGTGACTTACGCTGTTTTAATTGAGGCTTGCTGCAAGGAGGGGAAGTCGGAGGAGGCTCTGAATTTGATTAGCAGTATGCTGGATTCAAAGTTTGTACCAACCTCCAGTCTTTGCTGTAAGGTCATTGATGCTCTCTGCGAAGATGGGAAAGTGGAAGGTGCTTGCTTGACATGGAAAAAGCTTCTAAAGAATAATGTTACTCCTGATAACTCCATTTCCAGCACCTTGATATATTGGTTGTGCAAGAAAGGGATGGTTTGGGAGGCAAGGAAGCTCTTTGATGAGTTTGAGAAAGGATTTATTCCTAGTGTGTTGACTTATAACACACTAATCTCTGGAATGTGTCAGAATGGGGAGTTGCAGGAGGCAGGGAGGTTGTGGGACGATATGATTGAGAGGAGTTGCTGCCCTAATGTCTTCACTTACAATTCGCTGATCAATGGATTCTGCAAGGCAGGAAAGCCTAGGGAGGGGATTAGGGTTTTAGAGGAGATGTTGGAGAGCATGTGTGCTCCGAATAAGTATACATATGATGTTTTGATTGATGGACTTTACAAGTTAGGAGATATAGAGGAGATTGTGAGGGTGATTCAGAAAGCAGTCTTGAAAGATAGATTTCTCGATGCGGAAAGTTGGAATGTTTTTGTTAGTAAGATGCTCTCAGATACTAATCAATGGAGGGAGGATCTTAATTCTTTGTTGGAAACATAGATATAAATTTGAAGCTCATATTATTGATGTGATTGAAGTTTGGCTCGTATTGATTGGATGACGTGTGAGGCTGCTATGGGTTTTCTTAGTGGCTTAATAATTGAATGTGATGTGGGGAGGGCACATAAATCACAATCTCCACAAACAAGGTAAAGCTTTTCTGAGATTTTAAGGTCGACTCATAAAAATGTTACTGTACTGGTGGCATGCTTAGTTTGTCTTTTGTGGTGCCTTCAATCATTAGCCCTGACTTGCAAGACCAAATGATGCTGTCAACTGGCCACTTCTCTCCCTGCAGTCAATTTATACACTGCGTGACGTACAACTGGAGAATGACATAGGTAATTCATTGTAACTTTTTCTTGAAATTTTTTTGGATGATGCTAATAATAAAAAAAATCTTTCTCATAGTTTTAGATTTTCTTTAAATTGTTTATTCCAAGAAGCATCAGCTAGTATAACGCATGATTATTAGTTAGTGTGATTTCTGCTATTGGGACTAAATAGGCTATGCTAGTTGTGGCAGGTGCTTATAGATAGTTTGGGGATGCATAGGCAATTGAATATTTTATGTTTCAAACCTTTCAATATTTGACAAAATATATCAATCATCACAGTTTATGTGTGTTATTTTTTTTAGAACTTCCAAGTGAATTTAATTTCAAACCTTTCAATATTTCCTTTCTTCATTAAGAGTGTTTCTGTAACTGGAATGCTCCCATCTCTCCTGATGACCTGGTCCAAGGAATGGCTAGACATTGTTTTAAACTTAAGTGACTAAAATAAAGTTTATCTTGGTGGAATAAACATCATTTTAGAAATATCTTTTCTTTATTCTCGAAACTGAGGAGGAGGAGGTGATCTAACTTGAAAACTAAGTGATGGGTTATCTTAATCATCCTTTAAATGTTGGCCTTCTTAAAGCTGAGTCAAGCTCAATAATCACCAAGATATGGAGTAATGCTTTTGGAGGCAGAAAACAACTTGTAAGTTCTGAAAAACAGTGATAAAACTTTTGAATACTTTCATTCTCTTGCTTTCAAAAGAACTATTAATCATTTTCATAAAATCAAGCTTGATAATGACTAGTGGATTATCAAAGATGAGGATCTTACTAGCTCTGCTATTTAGTTTTCTCTAATACTGTCTATAAAACTCCTAATGTTACCCAGTTCATTAGTACTCAATTTATTTTCGTATTGTATCTAACTAAGATAATTTTAACCTTTTACTCTCTCTTGCTGAAGAAGAGATCTATTCCTGCATTCTTTCTGTGAATAGTGACTCTCTGGATGGGCCAGATGAATTTAGGACCAAATTTTTTCAAAAAAGTTGGCTTATTGTTAAAATTGATATCATTAATGTTTTTTTAGACTTCTTTAGTGATTCCACTATTCCTAGGTTTTTTTTACCAGCACCTCTATTGTCCTAATTGCCAAAATCCCTAATCCTGATCACTAGAATCATTATTGGCCCATTTGCTTATGCTCTTTCTTTAACAAAGTAATCTCTAACCTTTTGGCTAATAGATTAGCCAAGATTCTCCTCATATCTATTTCTCCTAATCAAATGGGCTTCGGAAAGGGAGAGTTATTGTGGATAATTTTTTTTTAGCTCAAGAGCTCACCATTGATTTTGGTTACAAGGCTAGAGGGCACAATAACATTATTAAACTCGACATATCCAAAGCTTATAATAATATAGATTGGAATTTCTTAATCAAACCCTCCAACAATTTGGTTTTTATAATAAAAGCATTAAATTTTTTCCAATTGTTTTGAATGCTTGGTTTTCTATTTTGGTCAACTTTAAATCTTATGGTTTCTTTAAATCATTAAATTGTTTGATGAAGGGTGACTCCCTACTCTCCTATCATTTTTGTTATTGTTGTTGAATATCTATCTTGTGGAATTAATCGCATTTTTAGTGAGCACCCTTCATTCTTCTTTGAAATTAAATGTTTTCATAATATTACTCATTTGAGCTTTGCTGATGATTTTATTATCTTTTGTAATGGGTCCTCCAAGTCTATCAGAAGTATTAAAAATTTCTTCAGGACTATGACCTCCTGAGTGGTCTCCCCATTAATAACTCCAAAAGCTATTTCATTCCTTCTAAAAGATGAGGCTTAGCTCTTTATCTTGTACCAATAATATTTTGGGTTTCAATGACGATTATTTATTTCTAAAGTATCTTGATGTTCCTATTTTTAAAGGCACTGAATGCAAATTTCTCTTTGATGATGCAATCTCTTCCATTAGGAAAAAACTTTCCAATTGTGAGCACCATCTTCTATCTATGGGAGGGAGACTAATTTTGATCAAATGCGTTTTTTGTTCCTGGCCTCTTCATCTCCTTCAATGTATTCATCCTACCTCTTATGTTTGTCTTAGGCTTGATCGCTTTATTAATAAGTTTTTTGAGGTACTACTTCTCACTGGACTTCCTGGTATAAAGTTTGCTTCCCTATATCGGAAGGTAGCTTTGGGAGTAAAACTTTTATGAATATGGCTAAATAATTTTCTACCAAAATGTGGTCTTTTAGGATTGGTTCTTGACTATCGGCCAATTACATGAACTTTAAGTATCGCTTTGACAAGCACCCCTCCATTTGTTGCATCATGTGGCCTTATTAAAATTCAAGTTGATTCTCTTACTTTTTGTGGTATGGGAAAATCAATGTGTTATTTTGGTAAGATAATTTGATTGGTAAAATTTTTGTTGACTTTCTCCTTAATACTAGCTCTACTTGTTCTATTCATGTCTCTGAATTTATTCTCCAGGATACATGGAACATTCCCAAATTAAAAGAGCTTCTCCCCGACTCTATCATTGAGGATGTAGTCAATATTTCCTTTGTCTCTGAGGATATGGATCATATCATCTTTAGTGCTTCTAAAGATCGTTCTTTCTCCTTGAAAGAAGCATGGAACCAATTTAGGATTTTTTAAGTTATTCTCTTTTTTATGGAACAAGGTTATCCCCACTTCTTGTTCTATTTGTGTTTAAAATATTTAAAAATCGGGGCAATTGCATACAAATCGCCCGTAACTTGCTATTCACAAATCAACCACCTTCTTTCATCCATTTTTCGAAGTCTCACTCAAATATCAAAATTCATGGTAAAAAATATCCAAAATTCATGGTAAAACTCCAACCCATATTTTTCATTTTTATCAAATTCTCAATAGTTTTATCATGGCATACGTAAATATATCGGTTCAGTAGTTCAAAAAAATCGCCTGGGTGGTTGATTTGTAAATGTCAATGTTTCAGGTGGTCTTTTTGTAATTATCCCTTAAAAATTACATTCCTATTGATTTAACCTTTGGAAGAATCCATTCAGTCTAACTGTTTTGTTTGCATTTGGGAAGTAATAATCATCTCTTTGTGAGTGGTGGTATTGATGATAAGTTATGGAATTGTATGGAATTTATTGGATTAACTTTGCAACAAAAGTAGATTCAATCATTTCTTTTCTCTTAATCATCTGGCTTCTAATTGGTTAGATGCTTCCCTGGTATTCATAACATCCATATTATTATTGTTTTAATTTCTCTCATTCTCTAGATTATACGGATGGAAAGAAATAATGCGAAACATAAAGGTATTAGAATAATCTTTTATAGAATTATTTGGAACATTTGGGAGAGTTTTTACCCTTTTCCAAGCTAATCTCATTGATAGAAAGAGCTTCAAATATTGCTCATCCATGCTTATGTACTTTAATATCCCTTAACCTTCCAATAATGTGATTCTTACTAACATCTTGGTTTATTGGCAAAAACCCCTAGCTGGTTGGATTAAAACCAAAACTGATGGTTTCGTTTCAAATAACCTCTATGGTTTTGGTTATTTATTGAGAGATGGTTACGGCAATATGCTTAAGGCTATTACGGGTTCTATCAGAAAGTGTTCTAACATCTATGCTGAGATGTTTGCCTTTAAACGTAGCCTTAGCTTAGCTATTACTTTACAGCTTATTGACTTTTGGATTGAAATGGATGTTTTTGTTGTTAATTAACTCAGTTCTACTTTTAACTTTCACGATTATGCTATCTTTGAATTGTTTTACTTAACCAGAGATATTTGACTTCTTATTAAGCAATTTCAGAATAAAAATCTCTCGTATTTATCGTGAAGGTAATGCATGCGTTGATTGGTTGGCTATGGGGGGGGCGCCGGGGGTGGGAGGGGGATTCCCAAGGATCTTAAAGGCCTCTTAAATATTGATAAAAAGGGCCTCCTCCCTTATATAAGAAAGAATCATTAATTACTTTGTGGCTGTCTTAGTTATTTATTCTGTTAAGTTTAATTTTATGGGATTGTTTAGCTTGCTTTTTCTTCTGGTGAGTTGGTATTTCTGGTGTAAAAATGGATTAAGGGGCATGATGTTAATAATAGTGCTTTGCCCGGGAAATTAATGTTACAGACCAAATTTAATTACTATACAAAATTAATTTTATTCCGGGTTTACATTTTCAAGCTTATTCTACCAACCTTGTATTGTCATTGTTGCCATTTTATTCTAGAGTGGTTGGTAGCCTTCTCAGGTTACCTCCTCTATTTTAAGCTGATGGTGGCCTTGCTTGATTTGGTATCATATAGGATTAATGATATTCATCAATATCTAATCCTAAACTGTCTTTTATTATCAGAATATTCAATCTACTTTTTGTAAGTATAGCTACAGATATTTTAATTACTTCTTTTATAAACTTTGGGTTTTGTTCTGTCTAGAATTAGCTTGATTTTTTTCTATACACCATATGCTTCTATTTTATTAGTTTTCTTCTGAAAAAACTACTGTTTCTGTTTATTACGGTATTATCTGTTCTTTATGTTTTACTTTCCTTATCTGCTGTAAATTAGGTTTCTATATGCTTACTTTGTTGATTGGTTTATGCTATATTACCGTCGGGCTTTCTGCGAAGGCGCACTCACACTTCCTCTTTGTCTCTTAATTTTTATGTTGTGGGCCTTCCTTTTTGACTTTATCTTATTTTCTCTTTTTATTTCTGCATCTTCTTAAATTCTCTTTTGTCTTTAATAATGGTAATTCTGATGTGTCTTTATTTTCTTCAATGTATACTTTTCTTTTTCATCTTTTTGCTCGTGATATCGGTTCTGATCAGTTCCCGCATGACCCTTTATAAGAACTTGCTCCCTTTCTCCTTGAGAACTCATGTTATTTGTAATGTTTTCACTTCCTTATGCGATGCTTACATGGAACGCTCTTATGCTCTTTTCTTATTTTACCTTTTTTTAAACAGGAGCCATGTTAATAATGCTTGCTTCTCTTTGAAATTTTGGGATACATTCATGTCTTATAATGCTTTCT